TGGAAACCTCTGCACCCTCCCCTTACTTAATTCCTACCTGGAACCTGCCAATTTGTGGTCCCTGGCTGCCCCCTCCCTTCCCTGGCTCTAGGGGGCCTGGGGCCTAGCCTTGCCTTCTTTCCCTTTATCTGGATATCCTGCTGGTCCACAGGTCCCTTGCCTCTCCTGCTCCCTCCCTTTCCTGGCTCTAGGGGGCTTGGAGCCTAGCCTTGCCTCCCACCCCTTTTTACCTGGAGCGGCAGGATAGCCAGGTAAAAAGGGGCAGGAGGCAAGGCTAGGCCCCAAGCCCCCTAGAGCCAGGAAAGGGAGGGAGCAGGAGAGGCTGGGGACCTCTGGAGCAGCAGATAAAATAGTTATTAGTCATTAGTTATGCTTATGATGCTGGGGACACAGAGATTAATAAAACCTAGTGTCTGCCCACAAATAATGTATGATCCAGAAAGGGATATGAAAGTACACAGAAAGCCATGATATGGTATAAGATATGTTCTAATAATAGTATGTCCCTGTGTGGGAAAACATGGGGCCCCCTCTCAACTTTGGGGAAGAAATTCAGGTTTTCTGGATGAGGTGATGTATCTAAACCAAACTCACCGCAATCAAGTCAATTCCGACTCAAAGCGATGCCCTTTGGGTTTCCAAGGCAGTAATCTTCACAGAAGTAGATTGTGCAGTCTCTCTTCCAGATATATATAAATCAAATTCTAAATGCCTACAGTGTGGGAAATCAAGCTTTACAGTTTATGTTCTATTAACTAGGAGCCCTGGTGGCACAATGGTGAAGTGCTTGGCTGCTAACCAAATTTCGGTGGTTCAACCTACCAGCTGCTCTATGGAAGAACAATGTAGCAATCTGCCCCTGTAAAGATTGAAACCCCATATGACAGTTCTACTCTGTCCTATAGGGTCTCTATGACTCAAATGGACTTGACAGGAATGGATTTAATGAGTTCTATAATTGGGGCCTTATCAGTAATAAATGGTTGAGGAAAAAGTAAAACTTATGAAGTTAATAGAAATATTAGTAAGCTATATGACCAAAAAACAAAACAAACCTGCTGCTCTCGAGTCAATGCCGACTCATAGTGACACTAAACAACAGAGTATAACTGTGTCTTAGGGTTTCTAAAGCAGTAAGTGTGTGTGTGTGTGTGTGTGTGTGTGTTTAATACACTTTATTGAAATACAATTTATGTGCAGTGAAATACACAAAACTAAAGTGACATGGGTCAACACGTTTTTTTTTTTTTTTTTTTTGCAGTGTTCCCTCCCCTCCTCCATATGTTGTTGTTGTTGTTGTTATGTGCTGTTGAGTGAGACCCAACTCATAGCGACCTCTCCTTGGGTTTCTGTTCAAATGACAGCCTCCTGGTCTATGTACAGGTTCCTCATAAATACAATTAAGTGTTCTGGAATTCTCATTCTTCTCAGTGTTATCCACAATTTGTTATGATCCATACAATTGAATGCCTTTGCATAGTCAATAAAACACATCTTTCTGGTATTCTTTGCTTTGAGTCAAGATCCATCTGGCATTAGCTATCTATCCCTTGCTCCACATCCCCTTCTGAATCCAGCTTACATTTCTGGAAGTTCTCTGTCAATATACTGCTGCAACCATTTTTTAATTGTCTTCAGTAAGATTTTACTTGTGTGTGATATCAATGATATTATTCAATAATTTCTACATTCTGTGGGATCACCTTTCTTTGGAATGAGTACAAATATGGATCTCTTCCAGTCAGTTGGCCAAGTAGCTGTCTTCCAAATGTCTTAGCATAGCTGAGTGAGTGCCTCCAGTGGGGCATCCATTTGTTGAAACGTCTCAATGGGTCAATTCCTGGAGCCTTGTTTCCACCAATTCTTTCAGTGCAGCTTCAACTTATTCCTTCAGTACCATTGGTTATTGATCATATTTCACCTCCTGAAATGGATGATCATCTACCAGTTGTTTTTGGTATAGGGACTGTGTATTCCATTCATCTTCTTTTGATGTTTCCTGAATCAGTCAACATATTGCCCATGGAATCTTCCAGTATTGCAATTTGAGGCTTAATTTTTTTTCTTCAGTTCTTTCATCTTGAGAAATGCCAAGCGTGTTCTTCCTTTTTGGTTTTCTGACTCCAGGTCTTTGCACATTTCATTATAATAATTGACTTTGTCTTCTTGAGCTGCTCTCTGAAATCTTCTGTTCAGCTCTTTTATCCTGTCAATTCTTCCATCTGCTTTAGCTACTCTCTGTTCAGGGCAAGTTTCAGAGTCTCTTCTGACATCCATTTTGGTCTTTTCTTCCTTTTCTGTCATTTTAATGACCTTTTGCTTTCCTCATGGATGATGTTCTTGATGTCATCCCACAATTCTTCTGGTTTTCAGTCATTGGTGTTCAATGAATCAAATCTATTCTTTGATTAATCCATGAGGGATATAATCAAAGTCATATTTTGGTTCTTATGGGCTTCTTTTAATTGTCTTCAACTTCAACTTGAACTTACATATGAGCAGTTGATAGTCTGTTCCACAGTCAGCTCCTGGCCTTGTTTTGGCTGAAGATATTGAACTTCTCCATTGCCTGCTGCCACAGATGTAGTCAATCTAATTCCTGTGTACGCCATCTGGTGAAGTCCATGTATATAGCTGCCATTTGTGTTGTTGAAAAAAGGTATTTGCAATGAATAATTTGTTGGTCTTGCTGTGATCTCTAGCATCATTTCTATGACCAAAGCCATATTTTCCAAGTACTGGTGATTCTTCTTTGTTTCCAACTTTTGCATTCCAATCACCAATGATAATTAACACATCTTGATTACATGTTTGGTCAATTTCAGACTGCAGAAGTTGGTATAAATCTTCAGTTTCCTCATCTTTGGCT